ATGGTGTTGAAACCATAGAGGTCTCATAGCACAACAGGCCTGTGGGTGATTGCAAGGCTATTGTCGGGCAGACGTGGAATTGACTCCGTTCCTTCTGCTGTGCTGCTGGCGGTGGCTCTACCAGATCTCCCAGCGACGGCGGGGGGAGGAGTTTAGTGGTCGGAGAGTGGCCCCACTCAATTTTCTCTTTTCCAAACTTAACAAACCCAGTTCTTTCAGTCTTCCTTCATAGCTCATGTTCTTTAGACCTTCCATCATTCTTGTTGCTCTTCTCTGGACCTTCTCCAATTTCTCCACATCTTTCTTGAAATGCGGTGCCCAGAACTGGACACAATACTCCAACTGAGGCCTAACCAGCACAGAGTAGAGCGGAAGAATGACTTCTCGTGTCTTGCTCACAACATACCTGACTCCTGTTCATGCATCCCAGAATCATGTTGACTTTTTTTGCAACAGCATCACACTGTTGACTCATATTTAGCTTGTCCACTGTTGACCCCTAGATCCCTTGACATTATATAACAATCTACATTGCATCTTATTTAGAAAATACCGGACATTTCTATTTTCTCATTTCTATTTTCTCAATTTGTTTGCCGAACAGAAAGCTCAAATACTGGACTGTCCAGTCAGAACCAGACACCTGGCAACCCTACATGGTACAAACTATGCTCCATTTTGTTGAGAAAAAATAAATGGCAGAAAAGTGGAGGGTTGGTTTTTTTTTTCAAAAATAATTTGCTGGGGTTCGGGGATTTGTTTCCCGAACAGAAAGCTCAAATACTGGACTGTCTGGTTTCGAACTGGACAGCTGGCAACCAGGTATGCATGCAGACACACACATATGAGCACATACATGAATGCACATACCCTAATCCTCCCATACAAATGCCAATCCACACCCCACAAACACATGTGGGCACACATACACACACACACACACACACACACACATGGGACCAACTTCTGGTACAACAGGGGTAAGCAAGATAAGGTCTATGGACCAGAGCCAGCCTGCCTGGCCACTTGATCCACACTGCAA